TATGCTTGGGAAAAGAGGGTGTAAAAGAATGAAAGAGAAGAAGACTTTGTGACAGTAGGAAAAAGGCGAAAAAGTAGCAGTGACCGAAGTAATATCCGAACTCTACGGAGCATCATTATCCGCGAACAGTCACAGTTTATATCTCAGTCTAGTTGCTTGCAGAAATCGCAACAAGCCATAAAAGCGACTCGTGAAGCAGACCGGGTATATTACTTTTAATCACATACTGACGTAATGCTGGCTATATCGAGGAAATCAGACGGGAAATGTCCGGTTTGCTGGATATGCCCAGCGCTTTAAGTGATATTTCATTAGGAGCGTAGACCAGTGCTCCAGAATTTGTTTGTCTATGAGGGGGCGGTTGTCCAGTTGGCCTGGTGCGTTTGAGAGGGTTGCTCTTTCGCAGTAGAAGCTGGTGCAGTCACAGAGAAGATTTCGCTGCACCTGCATAATTCATGTGACGGGCTGTCAGCCATCCCAGTCACGGAGATTGTGCGAAAGCAGATGAGGTACACAAATCTTGAAATGACTCCGACACTGAAGGCAGTGGGAAATGACGCTAGCTGCAAAATGCTTTGGAAGGCGGGCAGGGGAGAATGACTATACAATATACTGAGTAAAGAGATAAACAAAGATGGTGTTCGCCTTCGAACCGAATGAGACGAATACATTCGTGAAACTTGAATGTCTCTTGGTCTCATGTCGCACGGTCACCGTATCCGCTTCATTTCCGCAGATTAATTGCACGGCGGCTCGTGCCAGAGTTGTATACGTTTCTCGTTCGGGGCGCGTGTGCTGTACCGATGGTTACGATATGAAAACCGTGCCTACAGCAGCTTCTTCAGCAAACCCGCCATGATAAAATAACAACGCCGCGCGTTATTTATTCCATGTTCCAATACCCCGGCCGCCCCACCACGGACGGCGCATGTCAGCGAGGAATCGGTCTAACAAAACCAGACGGCGACAAACAGGCCTCGTATTGCGCGTGGCAGCTCGGACGACGCATCGACTAAGATTTGACGCGCTCAATATTCAGCCGGCGTCTTGCATACGTTTGTATACGCGACTCGACGCCGCTGTCCCCATTGCCATTGTGTACTGAAATGTCACCGCGCGCTAAAGAAGGTCTCCACGCGTAGGGGAGCACTCCCCTTCAACCCCTTTCCCTCCTCCATCTACATACCACTCTGCATTTACCACTCCGTTCTTTCATCTCTCCATTCTTCCTCCTTTCATTTTCTGTCACGGGCGCTTGCATTGCGTTCTTCACTCTGTCTCACAGCAAATTCATGCAGCACGTCCAACGCTATAAAAATCCCGTAAGCCTCCAGCGAACTGATGGAGAGTGAAGGGGCACCAAAGTTGTTTGCGTACGCATGATGATGATTATATGTGGTGTTTAACGTCTCAAAACCACCATATGATCACGAGAGACGCCGTAGTGGAGTGCTCCGGAAATTTCGACCACCTGGGGTTCTTTAACGTGCACCCAAATCTGAGCACACGTGCCTACAACATGTTTGCGTTCGCAGCCCCTTACTCTAGCAAGACCCATGAAGTCGATCGGTTGGTCAGTCAGGTTCCCAGTACTAAAACTCTCTTATGTTTAACTAATCCCACCATCACGAGCTGGATGAAAGGCGATGATCACGCACTTTTTTAACAATGGAATTTCGAGGTTAATACCTGCAGAGCGTAACGCTGCTCGTGGCCGATACGCGTCACGAAAATGGGGCTAGTCGCGTTAAACACATCCTGTCCATTAGAAAGCGAACAAGACGTATGTCACAAGCTTAGCGGGTATGTGCCAAACAGCTATAGCAGATACGCACCGCAAGACTTGCGCAAGCCCCACAAACCACCCCCGGTCCACTAGAAATGAAGAAGCCGTCTGAAAATAGCCTAGCTACTCGATTCTTGGCAAATATCCCAGGATGGCTATTAGCCAAGAGTGTGTAATCAACATTCACATCTGTACTACGGAAACCGGGCAAACTCCAGTTACTCAACCCCGTCACACTATAAAGATGCAACGAGTCGCAATATGCATGCCACCAGTGCCACTTTTTAACCATTCTTCGCTACATCAAACCAGTAACCGCTATGAAGTCCCCACCATCTTTTGTACAACTGTACAGAGCTACCACATCCATGCCCCCATGCTTCACACTGTTGAAATTACTCAGAGGAATAAAAAAAGCAGTGTTGCTCGTGACCATGTGATGCGGATGAAGTTTGCGCCCTAATCGCTTTGAGGTTGACGATAGAAGAAGGTAGGCATGAAAACAAGGACAGAAGCGAAGGGATAGAGCAATGCACCACAAACACGTTCGGGTTGTCGTGGCTTCCTGGGTCGGAGTTTGCACGCTTACCTTACGTTTGTCGGAGATTCTTGATGGCTAGCTGACATGAGGCGAAACCGGGGTAAGACCCCGGTTTCGCCTCATGTCAGGTGACACTCCAGCATGTCAGGTTTAACAAGTGCGTGGTGACACTCCAGCAAGCGCTACTCCCGCGACAGCCCTCGCTTCATGCAGTACGATCTTGTTAAATTAGAAAGTGCGATAGACGCTCTTGCGTGCCACTTACGGCACACACTTACGGGGAAAGGAGGAATGTTAGAAAGCGCTACACAATCGAATGACGTGAAGAAGCGTCAACTATATCAGCTCCTTTTAAATACAAGGGTGTAACTTTAGGCAAGCACTCCAGCAGACCATGGGACAAGCGCATCTATATATAAGCTTCTCAGGGATACATTTTCACTTGTATAGCTAACGTGAAAACGAAAACCCGAAGGATAGTGTACGCTAGAATGACGAGAGCAGTCTAACTGGCCCAGTACATCACTTCCCGTGCAAAAGCAGCGATAGCTGATTGACGCGTTTCTTCGACTGATGACACAGCTTCTATTCAACGGATGGGCCGGCTTGCTTCTATTTAGGTTGGAGGAAGGAGACAGTATAAGAGCAGGAAGCATGGACAAAGACTGAAAAGTCACGAGCACGACACGAGCACTCAACATGCGCATTGGCGACGCAAGTTCTGTGGTCTTGCCCCATCCTATATATATTTAAGCCGTCTTCACCACCTCCGTGCAAGAGACCTGTAGACCTTGGCGACTTCAATATCTTGATCGGCAGATGCCCGGACTGTTTCATTACTCATGCGCAGACTTGATACACGAAGGAAATTGCTGTGTCTTTCTGATACCGCAAAATGTTTTCATTAAGGGCAGGCTATTTATATTCAGCAGCACGCACGCACGCACGCACGCACGCACACACACACACACACACACACACACACACACACACACACACACGCACACACACACACACACACACACACACACAACACTTTTAAGACTCTTGGTTATCGCTGTGAGTTAAAAAAAAAAGAGAGAAGATGCTGCTGTTATAACGGTGAACAGCCAATGTTAACCGACCAGCCAGTGGTGGTCAACATTGCTTGTCATATACCAAAGTCGCTGACTTCATCCTCACCCCTGAATGCACCGCACGGATTTTCTGGGCAGTGTACTCAACAGCGTCAGCAAAAAACGCACTCACTCTTACTTTTCTCTCTCTCTCTCTCTTTGAATCAGTAACAGGCAAGCGGTGGTGTTGCAGACGGAGATGGTGGCTTTGCGATGCCACCTACCGACAACGCGCTGATTTTTTCTCGCCCAAATTGTAACCGTGACTGAGCTGCATACAGATGACGGGTTGGTTCTCGCGTCTTCGTAGGCATATGCAGATTTGTATATATATGCGTGCAACGCCGAAGGTGCCACCGTGTTTTGGAGCTATTGGACGGCGGGAACGAAACCGAAAACCGTTCACTCGTACCACCGGGAACGACACGGCGTCCTGTCCCATCTCCGTGTGTGGCTTTTTGTGTCCTGACGCATCAGTCACATATACCGCATGAGCCAAGTTCTCTTAGGTGACAAAACAAAACAAAATGTGCTCCCTTACGCTATATGTATCCTAACAAAAAAAAAAAACCTCTGGCTTTTTTGTACTAGGGGTTCCAAGCCTGAAAAACTGCAGAGTTGGGCGGCCTTCTTTGTTTTTCTGATTATCTCTGTCCTTTTCTCTTTTTTGTTTTTATCTGTTCTAGTTTCTTGCTGTTTTTTCTCTTTGTTTATATTATTTACATTTCCTGCTCATTTCTTTCTTTCTTTCTCTCATTTCTCAGGTGTTTCTTTTTTTCAGTTTATACGTGTTTTTACCTGCATGACGCCAATTGACGATGACAGCCTAAGCCAGTCTGGGTCCCTACAATTCTCCGCACTTATTTGAAGCAAGGATTTCATGCTTGCAAGTCTTAGGTGCGACAATCGCGTAGACTGCCATCGTTCTTACAATATTGTCCTCGTGGCTAAGTACTCCACCGATGGAGGAGACATTGTGCTAAAAAAAAAATGAATCACGTTGGCTTTGAGATTGAGCCTTTGCGCCATTACCGAAACATAGTTACTTGAAAGACGAGTTGTCGTCAGAGCGAAACTGCACGCTCCTTACTGAAACATCGACAAGTGAGTTGTTGCGAGTGTTGTGAATACCTTAGCCCAAGTATGTGACAGAGTCAAAGTTTAAAGCTTTTTTTTTTCGAAACGTGTCAAAGCATTTCTGGCAAGTGAACGGACATTGCGCCAATAATCATCTTTGCTCTAAAGCTGGGAACGAATCGTTATAAATTTCATCACCATTTGCATGACAATCCCGCGGACGTCATAAGTGGGTGCCACCTTACATATTACGCATAATGACCTGGCAAACCACCATGAAACATATAGTATAGCCGGCGCGACTTTCGCAAAAGCCCTCCTATTACGTACAGAGTAGTAATTTGGCAATACGATGCAAAATTTGTTGATAACCTATTGGTTTCGCCTAAACAAAATCTGCGCAAAAATGCACTCCACAGGAGAGCCGTGAGGAACGGTTGAAGAAAATAACAAAGCAAGAATGCCGTGTTGGTTTAAAACGTCACGTCTTCCTGTAGAAGAGCAGATAGGCATTCTCCATCAGGAAAGGCTTGGCCAGCTCTTCGTCGATGTCCGGCACGGAAGTGACCGACTCGTCGTCGAACCGGTACCACTTGCCGCATACCTGGTCCTCGGCGAAGGCGATGTAGTGGCCGTCCTGCGTCGAGCGAGAACCAATGTGGGCCACGACACCGTACAGCTTGTACTGGGGCCACGTGCCGGACCCGTTGGGCAGACACATGTTGGTGCTGGGAATCTTGATGGGCTCGCGAATCTTGCGGCTCTGGCAGGTCGAGCTGTCGTACTGAAATCGCAGCAGCTGGAGCACCACCGCCGAGGGAGTCTGCGTGAGCATGGTGCGGTGAAGCCAGCTCGTGTGTGCGGCCATGTTGCAGATGGGTCCCGTCTGGAGCTCGTTCTCTTCGTTCGCGTCCCGGTTGTCCATTCGCTTGGCCTCCGTAAAGGACACGAGGAGGTCGTAGAGGCGCAGTGGGTTCCCGCCACCGTTGGTGCTCACCCGGTCCCGAAGCTCGATGGCTATGGGCAGGACGTTGTACTCCTGCGTTCGTATGCTCGTCTTGAGACATGACGTGCACTGGTGTATATCCGACGTCTGGCCCGTGAAGAGGTGAACGATGGGGGAGTCGTTGGCGCGCTCGTAGGTCTGCCAGCCCTTGTAGGCCACCTCGAGGATGCGGTTAAGGCAGCGCTTGTTCAGGGTCGAGATGACCACTTGGAAGTTCTCGGCGTTGTGTTCCACCGAGCCGCTGCCGTTGGCCTGGCCAGCCTTGGACTTTGCCTTCCGGCTGTTGAGTACCTTGTGCAGGACGTTTAGCAGCGTCATCACGAACTCGGCAGCGTCCTGTTGCTCCTGCGAGTAGGACGAGCTGGACATGAGCTGCGGCATGAAGACACGGCAGAGTCGCACGAAGTTGTCCTGCGTCGAGGGTTGCAGGTTGCGGGCAACGCACTCGACATGCAGCTTGAGGTAGCTCCACAGAAAGTCCTCCTCGTCGGCACCCATGACGAGGTTGCTGTTCTGCACCCAGTCCTGCAGAAGTCCCGACATCTCGGGCGTGCGGAAGAGACACTGCAGCGACGAAATGGCAAAGCACAGATTCTGGCCTCGGTTGACCAGGCCCGGTGGAAGGTTATCCATTGAACTGTCAGTTCCCGTAGTGGCAAAGGTAAGCTTCCGATGCAGCTGAGAGAGCATGTCCCATCGGGCCAGCTTAGGAAGTCGCGAGGCGCCGGGTTGCATGGCCGCCGGCGCCCAGCGTTACCGCTGACAGCGGGATCGAGGCCAGACGCGGGCCCATCTCTTCCGCGCCCCACGCTCGCCCTTGACGCCTTCCGTGGTGGTCCAGATGATGGTGATGATGATATCATTTTGCTGATGGCACTAACCCACAAAAGGACATAGGCCAAGAACTGGGAGGCAGGATCTTTGAGGTAAATACCTATGAAGTTTAAAAACAAATACTATAGCTTTCGTCTATAACAAAGTATAGCTAATAAATGAAAATATTTAGAGCAATCAGATAGGCTATCAGATAGAATTTTTGACAGATTTAACGACGCGTTTATGCGTATTTGCATAATGAAATAGGCTAATTCTTACTGGCTTAATTTGGCGACTTCTCACATCTAAGATTTTGCTTGAATAAGCAGTGGTGCATATCTCGGCGATTATAAGTTACTTTCACTAGACTACACTGCAGAATTCTGACGTTGAAGCATTACTTACATAAGACTGGGCTCAGCGCGTCATTGTTACGCCAGCTTTCCGGTGAAATTGAGACAATGGAGCACTTCTTTTTATTGTGTGGCCGGAATTTTAACCAGATAAAAAGATATCTCGTCGCTCCCATTCCAAAGTTGGGATTACAAATCAATGTTAAATTAATTTGATCACCTAATGGAACTTCATTAGGTTATAGCCACAGGGAGGTCTACTCTGCTGTGTTTCATTACATACATGAAACAAAGATGATTACCATGCTAGTATATATTTGCTTATTTACATCATTATTTACAACTCGTTGCGACAGCTCCTATCTGCCCCGCCAGCTGTTTTTTTTTTTCATCTGAACGGGCAGTTTGCGGCGAGAGCTTTCTCTTCTTCCTATTGGCTTTCTGCATGTGCGGTGAATGAAACGCTATGGAGACGAGGTTCCGTGCTTGTTGGCCTTTTACGATGGCGCATGTCCACTACAGCACCCGCAGAGAGCTGTAGTGGACATGCGCCAAGTTTGTCCCAACCCCAGGGTGCTCTTCTGCACACTGTCAAATTGCCACCATATTGTCGAATTTCGCAATGACGACATATTAAACCAATCGGGTAAGCAATGGCAGCACTCCGTGTCAATCGGAGTCGGCGAAGGGCGGAACTCGGAAAGAAGAAATGGTAAAAGAGACAACCACCCGTTTGTGGCACGAAGCCACAAGGGAGTCTGCACAGATTTACCCGAAAGAAAAGCTTCTCAGTTGCCGAAAAATTCGTCCTGGTCCGTGGGTCGAACCCGGCCCCAACGCCTTTCCGGGGCGGTCACTCTCCAAGTTGAGCTAACCAAGAAGCTAGCAATTGGCCACGAGAGGGCGAATTCATCGACAACTAGAAGCACATGCACACAAGTAATGCAGATAAGTTCTGTGGAGACCCGAAATGTGGCGGAAGGCTTGGAAAAAGACAAAAAAGGGGGGGGGGGGGAAGACCCTTCCGCCACTTTGTGGGTCTCCACAGAACATATTTGCAATTAGGAACCAACTTCGCGGAATTTGGAATCGTCTAGAATAGCATTCCTATTGTCCTGTGCTTCACGACGTTTATCGTGTTCTGCGTCCACAATAAGCCCCGATAGGCCAAAATGCGATGCTGTGAAACACGAGAGCTCCGGAACACAACAGAAAAAGCTTTAATGAAAACAAGTTAATAACGTGGGGGAGCCTTAGTCAAGGGCATCAGTGGTATTATCCCTCTTCCAGCCCGGCCGATCCGTGCTGGCTGGTCGGGGGGCAGGAAAACAAAAATAAGTATTCTGATTACGATAAAGGAAAATGATGAGCGTTCATTCGCGAACTTAATATTACCACTTGTGCTTCTTTATTAACACCGCTTGTTCGGGAACCGCCTTCAATAAAGAGTTTTTGGCACATATGAAAAAAAAATAACATTCATCTTAGCTAGCAAGAGGCATGACGTCTAGTCCCATTGGAGTTTCATGCATTTCAAATTCTAAAAAGAAAAAATAGAAATAAGGAACAAGCGTATGATCTATGTTTAGGGGGAAACCAATTAAGATGAATCAAATGGTCAGAAGCCCTGGTCACCCCATAAAAGAGAATTGCGCGGCTCTTCTGTAGTGTGAGAAAGCGAAAAAAAAAGACAAAGAACAACACCGACATTTTGTCGTCAGGATGTCGAGCAAGCTACGCAACAAAAGCGAAGGAAAGAGCCTCGGCGCAACGCACCTGGTGAAGAGGTGTGCGGATAGAGCCGAGAGGCGTCATCTCCGTCTCGAGTTGGCTCACTTGCTAACTCAGCGAGCACCTCATCACGTCTTTCCGAAAAGAGCCTCGCTATCGCTAGCCACGCACGTACAAACGCCCACGAGAGAGAATCCAGGATGAGGTCAGAGACGAACAATGTATGTGTACATGCGTCTATAATACACACATATCCTCGTAGACAGCGTTCCACCGTCGTCACCACATCACGAATGAAAGCAGACGACGACGGTGCCAACCGGTGAACAGACGACAAACGCAGTGAACTTAGCGATTCGGGCACAGACATACAAGAGAGCAAAAATACGTAACTGAGTTATAAACATGAAAAAAAAAAGGGTCGAACATAAAAAGGGTCCTTTCCGCGGCCGCACCCAATCACGTCTGCGCATCAAAGCAATTTCTCGGTCGTTTCATCGCATAAGCGACCTTTTCCCCTTTCGTAGCCAGCGCGCGGGGCTCGAAGTGCTTCCAAGGATGTCATGAAACTTTAATGGCTCGACGCGGACCCCCATTGCTGCTGCCGTTGTGCTTCTCGGGTAGCCGTCGTTGCGGCTTTTCGGACTAGAAGACCTTTTGTGAAAGCGCTCCGCCCCTGATACAAAAGTGCCGGACAGTGGGTGTTACAATGAAGACGTTTTTACTCTCTGTCTAGATCCTTCTGTCGCAAGGAGATAGAACCTCCCGTGGCTTCTCGCCAGCAGCTTGTGAGCGGGACGAATCGGAAAAGAAAAAGAAAGGCATAGAGGCCGCAACTTTCTTGTTAAGGCGAAGGCTCTAGATGCCCCATAAAACGCGAAAATTGGCCATCGGCGTCTACTCGAGTGATGCCAGATATCATCATCATTTAATGACGTGCCCTATGGCGTCACGAGTCCCGAAAGTTTGTGACGTCAGCTTGGCGTCTCATAGCGGGACGTCCCACGATGACGTGATCACATGACGTCGTCGTTTAGTGTAGATGGGCTGATCCCGGAGTTCATAGCAGCTACAATTTTTTTATAATGAAGGGGGGTATGTTAGGCTATACTTTATGTAACGGTGCCTGTGTGAGTACATGTGCAAAACTGAAAAAAAAATTCCAGCAGGTTTTTGCAGTACCGGAAGCACTGCGATACTGCGTGAGATGCACAAAACTTCGGATGATTCTAATCCTGGAGGAATAATACAGTCCACTCAAAAGAAGATTACTTTTGCCTTCGAGCCGTCTTAGTCAAATGCATAAGAGACCATGTGAGTTCGTCCTACACCTAAGCTACGCTGTCTTTTTTATTTCTTGGGTAGGTCATTCTCGCCAACGTTAGAAAGCCGTGTATGACTGCACAAGTGGACTATAGAATAGTCTTCATCTGTTCCCATTGGCTCATGCGTTGAGGTGAGTGTGTCACACGGCCAATCAGTGGCGTAGATTTGCGCAGGTGATCAACCAGAAGAGGGCGATCGAAGGGAAGGTGGGAACATGGACATCAAACTGACAATCGTGGGTTTTCAGGTTACCGCGTTCGTAAATTTCAAAAAGATATTTTCGTCAGGTGGCGAAAACGGCCAAGTCTCGGCACGACAAAAATTGTTCGCCCCTTCCCTCCCTCTCTCACCTCCGGCAGCCGTCAAATTTCATACCTCGGCAATTCCCGCCGATGGCGATATTGCGTCGCTAATACAAGGCACATTGCTCTTTTCACCTAAAAAAAGAATATCTCGTGCAACCCATCATCGATCCAAAGCACCGTTGCCTAATACAACGACAGACTTTGAGTGTGTTCGTTTCGTTTTGTTCCGTATTCGTTTAGAGATATCTGGACGTCCCGACCAGCTCGGTTGAAGCGTGACATTACCGAGCACAGGACGGTATAACACGTACGCGAACGGAGGGGTGAGCAGGGAAAGGGCGTAGACAATACAGTTTCTAGATTTTTGTTAAGAACAAGAAGTAAGCTAAAAAAACAATGCGTGGGCGTGCATGGCCCTATGCCTGGTTCTGAACGAGAGAAAAAGATAGAAAAGAAACGTTGGACGATAAATGGCAAGGTAACGACCCAATGCTTTCCTGAATAGTTATGTGCAGCCGCATTGGTGGTACTGGTGTGCTTAGTCGCCGTAGACCTAACTGTTCGCCCTGCGTCCTGGATTTAAGAAACAAAAATGAAAGACGTGTACAATACGGCGTAATTGTGGTCCCACTACAGAGAGAGGTAAGTCTAGAAGTATTTGTAAATCAGCCTAAGGCAACTAAAGAAAAAAAGATAACAGCCCATTCCGGGACCACAGCCTCGGCACACAAGGAAAGAAAAAATGCAAAACGTGTCAGTGCTTTATGGACTCTTTTATCTTGAAATGCATAGCAGTAGGGCTGCGCTTTCGAATACAGTGATCGTTTATTCGTCACGGAGACTGGTCGCGAAACATAAATGTATATGCGGGCTTCCCCAGACGAAACAAAGAATCAGCGTAAGGGAACTGGGTCCCGCGGTCCTGCGATCTTATAAGGAAACTCTTGTGGTTGTTACGTACGAGACATATACATTGGTCAGTACAACGTGAACATATAACGAAATTCATCTGCAGAGTTCCGTGCCCCAGTGTGCGACGTTTCGTCGTGCTGAACCCAACTACACAGTCGTCCGAAATTGTCATTCTCCGAGCTAGCAGCTAGGACACCAAGTCACTAACTCCAGGCTCTATTATGAGTGCACGCTGGTAGAAATAAAT